CATTGTTCTGATGTTTTTTGTGTCTTATTGTTTTTGTTGCGTCTCATTGTTCTGTTGTGTCTTATAGTACGACCACTACCACCGGGTAAAAACCCATTTGCAGTCAATAATAAATAAATATACGCCGTGTGGACTTGAAAAAATATGTATTCGGGGTTACGTCGCGCCAACTGGCACTAATACCGTTCTTACCTGAAACACTGCAGTTGAAGTAGGTTCCGTCCGGACAGGATTATTCCTTTGTTCCTCCAACTCCAGCATGACTGAATCTTTAATCTTACTTGAAGAGACATTGTTATTGTTATTTTGCGTAAAAAACTGCTGTGGGATATCAGGTAAGGTCTCTTCTTCTTCATGGTCCAACAGCTGTCGACCCATCAGCATGTCGTGACGAGGGGTCTCCGGTTCGCTTCCAGGTGTTAGTTCCTCCCCGGAACTACCCTGACGTCCTATCAAGAACTGTCGTCTCCTTTGAGACACCGTCATCTTGACGAGAGACGACACCGGATTGCTGATGGTCGGCCTCATGACTGGAGGGGTACCGTCAGATTGTCGTACAAGCGGATGTCCGCTTCCAGAAGAGGAATCAGAGTTTTGACGAACGCAAGTCTGACAACGTCGCTGAGGGAGAAATGCAAGGCGGAAAGTGACGCTTTCACGTCTTGTCCTCGTCGTATTCTTTGTCGCGGACAGATCGTCGCCGCTGTCTGTAGGATTCTGCTTGGTTTCGTCTGCGTTAGGACTCTCGATAACTTCATACGTGGCTATAAAATCAGCTGTACCCGGTCCCTTTGTAGCCGAAGTTGAATCAGGACAATGACGGCATTCGGAGGAAGACGATAGAGTTGTAGTCGGGATGTGGAAGCTTTGAACTGAGATACTGTCGCCGTATGACAGAGACTGACGACGAAGGGCGAAGTTGTCTTGGTGAACAGGTGGAGGGCCAAAGCCGTTGCCAGACGCGACAGGTTTCCCGTTGTTGCTGTACGTCTCAATGTCCCGACTGCACCGTGAAACGTTGCCAACATATTTACCACCTCGTGGACGCCACCAAAGCAGAACTTTGAGTGCTTCGTTTCTAGCTGCCTCGTTACGAAAGACGTAGATGAACGGCGTAATACAGCCACTGGACAAAGCAGTCATCAGAGAAAGAGAACGGAAAGGTTCAGGAACGTGATTAGGTTCTATACTGTAAGAGTCTACGGCAGTGCCAACACCTCCCCAAGTGTCGATTAGCAGAGTTACGAAGTAAGGAGTCCAACAGAAGAGGTAGGACACTATAACCATGGCAGCTGTTTTCACAGCACGCCCTTCTTCCCGGAATAGCAGGGCAGAGAAACTAGCATTTGACGACCGCCTCTTTGCCAGTCCTACGGTCAACGGAGGGTTCTTCCAAGATCGCCGAAAATTATCTGGTGTTCCCATTGACGTCGGTGGGACCGGCGAGTCCAGAGACCCTCCCCTACTACTAGGTCTGCTGCAAACCAGTTCCCCAGGGTTCGCCGACACGCTGTGTCGTCGAGTACGTTCGCTGTTCCTGTGGGCAGCGTTGTACATCCTGGCGTAGATCCAGCAGAGGGCGAACAACGGCAAGGTAAATCCAAGGGTGACCAGTACCAGCGCGTACGTGAGGCGGAAGACCTCGCCTTGAACCCCGGTCGTGCAGTTGGTATAATGTACGAGGACTGTCGCGGGGACTGGAGACACAAGGGCCCCCATGAACGGAGGGGTAGCCAGGAGCCCTGCGACTCCCCAAGCACCCGCGATCATCGCTCTGCTTCGCTGGGTGGTAATAGTCATGGCGTAGTGGAGAGGACTCAGGACGGCGTTGTAGCGGTCAACAGCAATGGCCAGAACGGAGAATATGGCCGCTGTGACTGCGACAGTCATGAGGCCGGAGCTGACCTGTCTGACCCACCACAGTGCTGCCACCTCGCGATGTAAGACTTGTATCAGCAGAACGGGTATTACGATCATGGATGTCATGAGATTCGCGAGCACCAGGCTGAGGACGAACCTGTAACAAGAAACAGACGATTCTGGAACCATGAATAGTTTTCTGTGCACTGTGCACTAATTTGCTTTGGACGTCTTTTAAGTGCAATGAGAATTCATAAACACAATTTAGTCGGTAAACCTGAAAGCATTTTGACACTCGTGAGACTTACAAGCAGATGGGAGAACACTACTCAACTAGATCTTAAACAAAAAGGTTGTGATTATGTGGGATGGATTCATCAGGCTCAGGGCAGAGTCCAGTTTCGAGCTCATATAAACACGAGCTTTTTAAAAAATGTCTTTCTTAACGCAGAGACTCGACGATGATTGGTTTAGAAAAAGCGCTCTGACCTGTTGGAAGGTGACCTCAGGGCAGGGCGACGGTGGAACACAACAGCGACCAGGATGTTGGCTCCTGAGGCCACAACAGACAGAACTGTCAGGGCCGTTGCCTGCAGAGCCAGGGATGCGTCCCCAGGGCCATCCTCCTGGTTCTCTGGATCCGCCACTGCAACCAGTGAAACAAGTGTTTTGTAAGAATCGGAAGAATTCTTAATCTAGGGCATAAAAAATAAGCCAGAATTATCTAAAAAATGTATAAACTTTATAGTGTGGAATGTTAACCATTCAACTTTAGTCGAAGTGCGATTCGATATTATCGTGGAGGTGAAGACATCGATGTTGGTCCTACAGATAGTAACATCCTGTAGAGTTATAGGGAGACACAGAAGATAAAGACATACTTTTTCCCGAAACGTCGGTGTCTCTCCATACGCTTAAATGGCGTTACAGCCCAGAAGACCAACAAGGAAATTTTCACCGCTGTGAGAACCTCAGATCTTATCCATCCATCGTAGACTTGTCTCCATCTTCAGGGTGAAGACATTCCTCAGAAGCTTCACATAGCGTCATAACAATATCAAATGTCAAGATGGCTGTGTTACAGAATTTTGAACCCTGACGATGGAGGCAGCAAGGACGTCTGAAACGTGGGTAAACTTCTACCAGATTACACGTCGAAACATCCCAGAAGACAGCCATCTTGAATTTAAAAAATCTCTTTATGACTGACCGAATCGAGCGCCGACGTTTCAGGACACAGCTCATCACCTTCAGCACCTGAGATGATGAACATAAATCACCTCCACCTGAATCCGAGATAAAGAATGAGTGGATCTGTGCCCCATTCCCGCCATGATTTTTGTGACGTCACACCCACTTTCACTTTTTGCCCGAGTGTCCCAGATCTTCCTGTTGACCTTGAACATCGCCATGGTTACTGCGCAGACCAAAACAATTTGATTCGGAAGGTTAAATTATCGCTCATTATCAAGACGTGCGCACAGAACTGCCAATTTGTCAAACCAGCTTGAGACGGCTAGCTCCCAGCCAGCTGATTCGCGTAAGGGTTACATGACGCGTGTCGTGGGGAGACGCCGATGGCCGAACGTCCCTGGAGAGTAACATCGGGGTTCAGGGTTTGCGACCGGTCGAATGAGAAAATCAAGAAAAATACGACCAGAAAGAACTCGGTTGTGACATGGCCACCCCACACCACGCACCACGCAATCTGTCTATAGCAGCTGAAGACAAGCATTCGAGGAATGCAGCAATGTTTAATAAGTAAAACTTTCATTTATAATATCACAAACCTCTCCTTTATAAGTTATTTTAAACTTCTTCGATTGAATTTATAATCTTACGATGTAGTTCCCCTCCAAAACCACTTTAATATTATCTTTCCATCCCATAGAGCTACTGATTACCAAAGTGACGTTTTAAAAACATAATGTTTCTATGCGTTTCTTGATGTATGTTCTGGTTGTAATGACCTACTCAAAAGTATCATCAGTCTTTGGTGATACAACTTATGATTTCCTCCAATTTGGTGTATCTGTCGTTCATTACAATGTGGATGAGAAATGACAAATAGTTCCAGGAGACATCTGATACGATCTAAAACAAACAAACTCGATGTATCCTTATCAAGAAGCTGATAGTCGCTCAACTGGTCAAAAATTCCTCTTCTCTTGTGGAACCCGAATGTTCATTACCGTGTTCACAACAGCCCGCCACTGGTCCCCATGATGAATCTAGGATACAACCTCCAACCCTATTTCCCTAAGATCCACTTTAATATTATCTTTTCCATTCTACAACGTCCTCAGAGCAGTCTCTTATCTTAAGGCTTTCCAAACAACATTTTTATGTACTTATGCATGCTACATTCCCCGCCGATATCACAGCACCTAGCAACGAGCCCTGAAGACAGCGAAAAGAAATGCAGACGAAGCTTTGGTGGTGCCTATGCGGAGTCTGGCGGAGGTCGAAGACAGGCGGTGAATCTGACTTCAGTCACCGTGAAGATATTTTCACATTTACTTCAGACCCTATTTTAATTTACGTACGGAAATTCCCGTCGATTTTTACGGGTCATTCTTACCGAATGTAATAGTCTGGCTGAACAGATTCACGGACAATGCAGTGTTTGCAGACACGCGAAGGCTTCAGGTACGTTCTGGCCCACCTTTCCTCGTGCACCTCAAGTTCCAAGGTTTATTTTCCTTGTCGTATGGGAAAACAGTTCGACCGCTGTGATCAAAAACTTTCTCAAATCCTTTGAAGTGTCTCTGAGTCAGAATTGCAGAATCAGGCTTCAAGTAAAGAACCCATAATTTGTTTGCACTGCTCACTCACTCATGTCAGTAACCTACATCTCTATTTAACTACCCTTTCAATAGCTCAGATTATACAGCGTCGAATGACAGGGAGATTAATTAATAATTAGCTGGAAAAGATGAGAAAAGAAGCGGCCGTGGCCTAATTAAAGGTACTATTTCAGCATTTGTCTTGCATGGATGGGACAAGAGGCGTGCACTGGGTATTAGTCGGGAAGGCCGAGGGGAAGAGACCTCTGGGGAGACCTAGACGTAGATGGGAGGATAATCTCAGGCGGGATCTATGGGAGATAGGAGTCGAAGGAGACTGGATTTTGTTGGCCCAGGACAGGGTCCGGTGGAGGGCTTTGGTTAATTCGGTGATGAACCTTCGGGTTCAGTAAGCCATCTGGTTGGTTGGGTCCACTATTTGGGAAGCCTGAGGGGAAGAGACCTCTGGGGAGACCTAGACGTAGATGGGAGGATAATCTCAGGCGGGATCTATGGGAGATAGGAGTCGAAGGAGACTGAATTTTGTTGGCCCAGGACAGGGTCCGGTGGAGGGCTTTGGTTAATTCGGTGATGAACCTTAGAGTTCCCTAAGCCATCTAGTTAGTTAGTTAGTTAGTTAGCTACTCATTAGTTTTGTGAATTACATAAAACTAGCCGAAAGTGGGAAGATCATGACATTGCCTGTCTGTCTGTCTGTCTTTAAACTCAACCAATTTCCGTAAAATTTTGTATTGGAAGTTTATACTAAATATTGTACAGCAAATTTCAATCTGATCTACAGCAGTCAAATATAATCAACTGATATGGAAATAAAATCCAACATAAATTTTCCAAACAGGGCACAACCTTTAAAATTGTACACGTAGCATAAGGTCTATAACTTTTATTTGAAACATATTTTTGCTATGATTAATATTTGACTAAATACAAAGAAGAGCGATTTGGACTTTATAAACCTACAATGTGATTATCTTTACACAAATTGTTATAAATTTATATCATATTAATATCATAACACGTAGACAAGTACACATTTAAAAATACAATATTGCGTTCTTTAGGAACGTACGGTTAAGTTTTGTTCAGCATTTGTCTAGAGGAAATGAGGAAATCACAAGAACCTCAGTCAGTTTCGTTACTAGGTTATGACCTCGACGACCGAGGTTTGATTCCCGGTTATATTTCTCATGTGAAAGCGTCCAGACCGACTCTATGGTCGATCCAGCATCCTATATGGGGATAAAACGGCCGGAGTGGGAAACTAACCTTCCATCTGAGATGCAATACCAAGGTTGAGAATACGTGGAGCTATACCTCCAGTCCCTTGAATCGGGTGGTGCTTAGCTAACCACTAGGGGACGTCACCTTTTACCTTTGCGTCGGTGGAGTCCATTCGCTTCACGGAAGTAAAGTACAGATGACAGGGCGACTAGAGCGTCTTTATGACTACGTAAAGGTTGGCTGTGAAACGAGACTAGGGAAATTCATTTCTACGACCGTCAGCCAGACTCCCAGATGTCTGTACGTGACCTCACATAACCCTCAGAGTACAGTACACCACTACGTCCTCCCTCTGATAATGACATACTTCCGTTTCATTCTTTCAACAGTGAAATTTAAGATCCAGTAATCGATACAGACGTCCGTCAAGGTTCGTTCATAAGCGACACTACACAACGTCACTGTCCTCTAGACACGAACGTCATTTCCTGTTCGATATGTGATGATGGTTACGTAGCAAAGTCCGTCTTGAAGAAGCTAGTACATACTCAGCTGGTTAGAAATCTTCCTCATTACGGAACCTGTAATTCCATTATCAATCATGTTCACAAATGCCAGCCATATTTAGCCAGATCAATTCCAACCCACACTTTTATACATGTTTCTTTATGCTCTCATCTATGTCTAGGTCTCTCAATTGGTCTTTTATCTTCATGTTTTTCAATTATGACGTTGTGAGCTCTTCTATTATCGCCTACGCGTTCTAGACGTCTCTTTCTCTTATAGTCTCTTAATTTATTTCGTTAGTACGAACCATATACGGTTTAAAACATAATGCGATATATTTAGTATCTAAGAGTCTTGCATAACACAGAATAACGGTGGTATACAGTGGAAAATATATGTGATGTCTCTCCTTTCCTTCTTTAACATTACTTTTTTTCTTTAGATAATTGCTTTAATTATAAGCTAGAATAATGCAATTTTCGTTTCCTGTAGCGTACTGATGGGCCCCATTTAAGATATTAAATAACTGTATTACTGTTTACTGTTATTTAAGCTGCATATATACGTACCCTAGTTGCAAACTTTTAGTTAAAGACTTCGTAAAATTTGCGTGATATAAGAAACTTACATTCCTTAAGTTATATGTACTGCTGTAAAAACAATTTTTAGCTCTTAAAATCCGAGTACTGATTTATTTCGTAACGAACAATAAACAGCGATTATTTCCTTAAACAGCGTTAACCAGTTGATCTTTGTAATGGTGAAGTGTAGTGTTTTCTTCGCGGTACGGACTGAATTCTTAAATATTATTTAT